TTTTTTTTTTGCTATTTTTTTTCTTTTTTAGCTCATCAGCCCTCGTTAGTGTCAGCGTATTTTATGTGTGCCCCGAGATGATCCTTCTTCCAGTGTTACCCAGGGAAGCCAAAAGAGTGGACGCCCCTGTTCTAAGTCCTTTCGCACTGTATGCAGTGGGCTTTTGGGAGAGCCGGCACCTGCCAGTGTGTGCTGCTGTTTTACTTCTCCAGGGAGCCTGGGGGACCCGGCCGAGCCTAGCCTGGGTGCAGCAGCACACACCAGGTTTCCAGCGCACCTTGAGCCACGTCACACGCTGCACTCTGGGCCCTCCCTGAGTTTCATTCCTGGGTGAAATGCAGGACTCGGGGAAGTCTGGCTGCCCAGTTAGGGCCACAGAGATTGTCAGGGGCACAAGTAGCTGATAAGAAGCAACCTCTGAGTGAAGTCTCTATCTTTGAGTTATCATGAGTGGTCTGACTCTACGCACAGCACGTAGATGGAATGCTGTTACTATAATGTTACGCAGAGGCGAGAATCACTGTGATGACATTTTAGCGTCTAATCCCTGAGGTCGAGAGCCCGCTGCAGTGCATATCATCTAGTCCTGTATGGGAACTTTCACCACCTAAGCCGTGATCCAGCCCCTTTTGACCTGAAATCTCTGACCCTTAAGTTCTAGATCTCAAAATAAGTAGATTTTTTTTAAAGCCTGAAGAAAGCTCAAAATGCATCATGGAAAGCTGTGTGTGTTTTAACACATATGTAACATGACCTTTAGTGTTGATCCCAGCTGTGGGTTATTGATTTCTCTGCTTTTCAACATTGGTTAGCACGGCCTGGCAGTCCTAATGTGTGTCCTGGAGTCATGTGGGGATTTCTCTATGGGTAGAAGCCAGGACAGCGAGCCATCAGCTGTGGCTTCACTGACATTGGACAGAATTAGCCACTTGGTTCACAGAAGTCAGAATCATCTGTGCACCTCACGCACCCCTGACTCCACATCAGAGGTTACAGCAGCCTGGACATGGCCACCATTGGGACCCTCACCGGGGAGGCTTAATCTGCCATCTTCTGGAAATCTCTCAGTTCCCTCCAACTTTATTGCAACAAGGTATCTGAACAAGAATTCCTGAACCTAATATCTTCATAAAGTATTATCTCATTTAATACACAAGCAGCCCTCTGGGGTAGGTACTATTATTCTACTTTTGTATCAAGAAACTGCACACAAGTCTGGTGCTGCTCTCCAAGATGACGTCACCGGGAAGGCAGGCTCTGGAGTGGCCGCCCAGCGCTCCTGCCGCCTCGAGCTAGCTCAGACAGGAGTGGTTTCGGGGCAGGTTAGCATCCTGTTGGGTGGGCGGTTCATTAACTACGTCTCAGATACCGAATGGTGATTGGGAACAGTGCCGGTCACCATGTGTGGACAGGGATTTACACGTTAATGGGGCTGGATGATCAGGTTGATGCCGGTGGCTTTCCTTCCCTGGACAGAACACACAAGATGACCTCAGAGATGATTTTCCTGCTTTTCCAAAGATGGGGCATAGCCATCCTAGGTGCTGAAAGACAAGGTTGCATCATTAGCCAGCAGCTGTCTCAGAGCAGGAGTGCTGGACTCTTCCCGTAGACTCTGATTAAGGAAAGCCTCTAAGACTGAACATTTGGCAGAGTCTGTTTATTGTTATTGTTTTGAGAGGGCGTCTCACTCTCTTGTCCAGACGGGAATGCAGTAACACAATCTCAGCTCAATGCAGCCACCGCCTCCTGGGTTCAAGTAATTCTCCTGAGTAGCTGGGACCACAGGCATGTGCCACCACACCCAGCTAATTTTTGTGTTTTTTTAGTAGAGACAGAATTTTGCCATGTTGGCCAGGCTGGTCTTGAACTCCTGGCCTCAAGTGACCCTCCTGCCTTGGCCTCCCAAAGTGCTGGGATTACAGGCATGAGCCACCATGCCTGGCCAGGTTTTTATTTTTTAGACAGGGTCCTATTCTGTGTCACCCAGGCTGGAGTACAGTGGCGCAATCACAGCTCATGACAGCCTCCAACTCCCGGGCTCAAGCAATCCTCCCACCACAGCCTCCCAAGTAGCTGGGACTACAGGCTATTCTTTAATTTTTTGGTTTTTTTAAGACATCTTTTTAAAATTGCCTTTTTAAGCATTTCTGATTGTGAACACAGGCTGACAGTCAGCTCATGCCATCAGAGCCTCGTGCCATCTGCTGGGCAAAGGGATGGTACAGCTTCCTCCATGGTCCCCCTGAGGCATACAGGGCTGGGTCAGCTCTGCTCCCAGTGGCGCCTTGACAGTGGAGCTGAGCACTGGCCCGCAGTCACCCTCAGCCTGCCCTGTTTCTCTCCCCTCTCCCCAGTGCCCCGGGTCGTGGCGGTTTCCCCACAGATGCGCCTTGTGGAGGACAATCCCTCGTCACTTTCCCTGGTGGAGATCTACAAGCAGCGCTGCGCCAAGAAGGGCATCGAACACGACAACCCCATCTCCCGTTACTACGACCGGCTGGCCACGGTGCAGGCTCGGGGGACCCAAGCCAGCCACCAGGTAGCAGCGGGCGGGGGCCGGGCTAGGGGCTGAGCTGCTGCCTGTAGCCCTCTTGCATGGGCCGGTGCTTGGGGACACGGGTGCTCAGGAGACACGCAGGCGTTCACTGGGGGCCACCTCCATCATTTAAGATAACTTGATTAGGCTCGTGAGATGGTAGAGAGATAGCCATTGACCTTAGTGAGAGGACGTTTGTCATGATGGTTTGCTATGATAGGACACGGGTCATTCCTCGACCTTGGAGAGGCCTCTTGTCCTCTGCCTGTACTTACAAAGAAGCTCTGAAGTTAGAATTTTAAAGTAAGTTTCTGGCAGTTTCATTTGGCAGCCACACCTGATCTGAGGTGATGGGAGGCTGTTGACAGTCTGCATTCATCCACTTCACCTGGGCTGCTGCTGGGGCGTTAGGCCGTGTGCAGTATGTGTACTGTCCATGCTTTCTAAATACAGAAATTGACAGACTCTGGAGTGCGGGGCCCAGCTGTTTGGGCTGCCTGAGCCGGGAGTGTGGATCCCGCAGGAATCTTGGGTGGCCCTGCCTGCAGCCCCTGGAGGCCCCTCTTTCACCTGCACGTTTTTGCCCTTGGTAGGAGGCAGGGCGGGCATGGGCTCTGGATGAGATTTTTGGGGGATTGTGTGGAGCACCCAGCAGCAGCTGTTTTGGCCTCTCCCCAGGTGCACCTGAGGTCCTTTGTGTGGGTCCCAAGCAGGAGAGACCACAGAGGTGGACGCTGTGACCTTGCCCAAGTCTTGCAGGGACTTATTCCAGTTCTCCCGGCTCCTGGAGGACTTAGTTTGGTTGAGGAAGGTTGAGCCCACCCTGTGCTCCGTGGCCCAGGGCATGGCAGGGCCCGAGGTGTTCCAGGCTGCGGGGTCAGGTGCTGCCTCCCAGCTCTGTGCAGGCAGAGACGTGGATCCCTGTTTCTGATCGACCTCTGTTGACAGAGCTCATGGCCTCTCTTGGGAATCGACGCCAGCACATTTTTGTGGCACAGGCCACGGCCTGCTCATTCTGAGGACAGTGGGCAGTTCTGAGGTATTTGCAGGAGAGGAATGAGTTATTCTCTTAAGGCAACATTAACTTTCGACAGCGTGGAAGCCAGTGACAAACACGTGCCGACCTCAGAGTCATCCCGTTTCTAAACAGCGTGAGTGACCGACCAGGCTGTTTGTTCCAGGTTAGCAGCTGCCAGGGCCTGTAGGCCGAGGGAGATGCACACAGCACAGAGGACTCCGGCTTCAGAGCCGCTTCCTCCTCTCTGTGCCTCTTGTTTTTTGTTTTGTTATAAATTCTGCTCTGTCATTCTTCTCTCTTTCTTTTCTTTTTTTTTGAGACAGAGTTTTGCTCTTATTGCCCAGGCTGGAATGCAATGGCACGATCTCAGCTCACTACAACCTCTGCCTCCCAGGTTTAAGCGTTTCTCCTGCCTCAGCCTCCCAAGTAGCTGTAATTACAGGCATGCATCACCACGCCCGGATAATTTTGTATTTTTAGTGGATACGGGGTTTATCCACGTTGATCAGGCTGGTCTTGAACTCCCGACCTCAGGTGATCTGCCCGCCTCAGCCTCCCAAAGTGTAATTCCAAACCTGGAGTTACAGGCATGAGCCACCGTGTCCAGGCTTGTTTGGTTTTGTTTTGTGTTAAAGACAGTCTCTCTGTCGCCCAGGCTGGAGTGCAATGGTGTGATCTTGACTCACTGCAACCTCCACCGCCCGAGTTCAAGTGATTCTCCCACCTCAGCCTCCAACATAGCTGTGATTACAGGCGTGAGCCACCGCGCCTGGCCAGGCTGCTGGTTTTCACAACTCCCACGGTGGTGAGGCGGCTGGTTTTCCAGGCGCCTGTGGAGCTGGGGAGAAGTGAGTGGGAATGGCGCACAGTGAACGGGCAGCGCACTCACTGTTCTCACCAGGAGTCAGCCTTTTCCTCAGACTGTTGCAAGCCTTTAATTTCTAGAGTTCTGAAAAAGTTGATTTTGATGGGTTTTGGCAGCATGCTCACTGCTTGAGGAGCAGATTTTGGAAATCCTTGAGGTCTCAGAAGTGCTTCTTGCCATTTGACAGACGAGGAAACGAGCTGCGTGTGTTGTGGGCGGCCTGCCCTGTTCTTGCCAGCGGAAGGGCCTGCTTTCTCACGGCCTTCGGAGCATGGAGGTCGGACTTAACTGAGAAAAGACCCCGGGCCTATACCAAATGGTCGAACAGGAGCTCCATTAACTCAGTAAACTCTTACCGAGTGGTGGTGTCTGCAGTGGCCTATGAGTCTCCAGTCCAGAGATCAGTCTCAGGTGTGGCGTGTGGTTACAGCAGCTCCTTCAGTTTGTGAAACGTTTGTCTTTGGTTTACTGTCTTGGTTGGAAGTGGCGCTGCTGGCGTCGGCTGTTTTGTTGTGTTAATTGGTCTGATAAATTCTGTGGTCAGCAAGGGTGGAAGTATTTTGATATTTACCTGCATTCTCGTCAGGTGTCGCGTATCAGGTAACAGGCTTTGGCGCAGACCAGCTGCATTGGTGCTTTAGAGGGGACGGCGGCGAACCCCAGAGGGAAACAGAGCCATCTTGTGCCTCGTCGTGTTCAGTCAAATAACAATGCGTGTGTCAAATTTCTCACCAGAATTTACTCTTGCTGCTAAGTTAAAGACTAATTGCAATTTGAGAGTTTTTCTTTTGCAAAAAAAAAATCAGTGAGTTAGGTGGAAGTGTCATGGATCGATGTACTTCAGGTCCTTCGCGACATCCTCAAGGAGGTTCAGAGTAACATGGTGCCGCGCAGCATGCTGAAGGAGTGGGCGCTGCACACCTTCCCCAACGCCACGGACTACTGGACGTTCCGCAAGATGTTCACCATCCAGCTGGCTCTCATAGGCTTCGCGGAATTCGTCCTGCATTTGAATAGACTCAACCCCGAAATGTTACAGATCGCTCAGGTAAGCCGGTTTGAACAGCCAGATCCTCTCCTCGAGACATCGCCTTTCTGTTGAAGTTCCTAAAGTGTTTCCTTCTGAAATTTAGGACACTGGCAAACTGAACGTTGCCTACTTTCGATTTGACATAAATGACGCGACTGGAGACCTGGATGCCAACCGTCCCGTCCCATTCCGCCTCACACCCAACATTTCTGAGTTTCTGACCACCATCGGCGTCTCCGGCCCATTGACGGCGTCCATGATCGCGGTGGCCCGGTGCTTCGCACAGCCAAACTTCAAGGTGGGTCTCTGCATCGTCTGGCACAGGCCAGAGCCGCTCAGGTGCACGCACATCGCAGCCTTGCGGGAGCTGCTTATCTGCCTCGTGGACTCTGCATTTTCCCCCGTGGCCAGCACCCCTGTGGGTTACGTCCTTCTTTGCTGTGAGGGCAGGGGATGGTTTTCTCTTTGGTTCACTCTCGGCTGTAGTTCCTGGAACAGGCCTGCCCGACACTCAGCAGACACTGGAAGGCGTCAAGTAAATAAGCAGATGGAGCCCCAGTCACAGTGTGGCCACCTGTGCCACCCAGGTTTGTGCTGCCCAGCACCAAGGTCTTCTGGCTGCTGCTTCAGTGGAGGAGGGCGTGTGTCCCCCAGCGGCTTCCCCAGCCCATCCTGAGGGCCCATGGCCAGGCCCAGTGCTGAGGCTTGACCAGCCCTGGTGGTCCTGGACGGCCGCTGTGACTGAGCCCTGCCTTGTGAGGAAGCTGCCCCTCTGGGCTGTTCTTGGTTCAACACAAGTCCTCACATTCTCTCCCTCACGCAGGTGGATGGCATTCTGAAAACCGTGCTCCGGGACGAGATCATTGCTTGGCACAAAAAAACGCAGGAGGACACGTCCTCTCCTCTCTCAGCTGCCGGGCAGCCAGAGAACATGGACAGCCAGCAGCTGGTGTCCCTAGTTCAGAAAGCCGTGACCGCCATCATGACCCGCCTGCACAACCTCGCCCAGTTTGAAGGTGGGGAGAGCAAGGTGAACACTCTGGTGGCTGCAGCAAACAGCCTGGACAACCTGTGCCGCATGGACCCCGCCTGGCACCCCTGGCTGTGACCGCGGCTGCCTCAGCCACCCGGAATGTGAAGGGAGCCCCAGGCTCTGAGCCCGCGGCTTTTACCACTTCTCTCTGCCTCGTTCATTTTATTCACGAAAGTCCTGCAGTTTCACTGGGTTGCAGTTACTTTCCTGATAGTTTGTGTGGGAAAGAGGGAGCTGGTGACGACTGTGGGCGAGGCGGTTAGAAATGGTAGAGCTGGAGCTTACTCCAAGCTTTTAAATGATCTTTTAAGAAGCCAGGATTCTCCAGTCTGGAATTTCTGGGTGAGTCCTTTTTTTATGGTGTCCTCCCTCTGTGAATGTACAGGCGGAACCGTACGAGCAGCTCCCAACCGTCCATTTTTAAAACCTCACAGTAGCTTCGTGCTTTTGTACAGACCTTTGTAACAAGTGTACAGAAAACCCATTTTGTTTGAGACACAGGAGATGATGAACTGATCGTGCTGGTTTTTCTGAGCACAGAGTTTTAGGTTGTACGCAGCCCGCCCCGCGATTCTCGCTGAGTGTTCAGCGTGGATCCATGGGTCAGGTCACCCTGTGGGAGCGCCACACCACATCCACCTGGATTCCGCTGGTGGAGACAGAACTGAGAGTCTGCAGGCGGCTCCTGCGCTTTTTATTTCTGGCTCTTTGGATGTCTTCTAGACGTTTACTATCATTGTACCTGAAGAAAAATCACTTTTACCTTCCTAATTTAAAAAGACAAAACAGAAATGTAAGTTCCTTTGCTACTTCAGTCTTTCTGTTCACATTTTTATAAATCTGAGCATTGAGAATGTTCTATCTAAATTTGTACAGTGTGATTTTTTTTTTAGAATAAATATTTTATAAAAGGGTTTATTGTCCATTATTTATGTTAAAATGCTTGTTTCCATGAGAGGTTTCTTCCCTCTCAACGTCCCTCAGCCCCTTGGGAAGCAGAGGCCCCAGGGGCAGTGTGGACTCCTCAGTGTAGCCTTTTGGTGACGGCATGCACTGCCCAGGTAGGCACAGTGCTGCTGTGATCATGGGGGAAGCTGTGACTTGGGGCGTGGGAAGCCAACTCAGAGTGTATTCAGTCACAGCGACGACGAATGGCGGCCCGACCTCAGCAGCGGGTCAGGGTGCCGGGACACAGAGCACTCAGCTGTGTTGATGTGTTTCCAGGCTGCTGCCATGTAACATGCATGTGTGGAGCGTGTGCAGAGTGTGCCTGAAGCATGCCCGGAGGCTCAGCATGAAGCACTCTGCGCCCAGCTCCACCTCCTCCTTGTGCTTCATCCAGTGTATACTGCGGCCAGGCCTGCCCTCATGTGGGAGGGGCAGTCCCCGAGGAGCACGTGCCCTGATGCCAGAAACAGCGCAGGAAGAGGGATGAGGTTGCCACTCCAGGGCTAATGTGACCAGCCCTGAATCGGAAAGGACTTGCCTGTTGGGAAGTGTGATGTTTCTTCCAGGAAGATGTCCCTTTACAGGACCCAGGGCACGGGGCAACACGGAGCCCTCTCTTGGCCTCTGCCCCAGGCCACAGAACCTTCTCCAGCCCTTGACTCTCCTTGCTTTCCATTTACCTGCCATTGTTCCAGGCGACCACGAAATGATGCCTACAGCTGAGTTGACTCAAATCCCACCACAGAGTCAAATGAAAGGGCCATGACCTGATGTCCGCTGGCAGCTTTGGATCACGGTTCTGTTGCTGGGTTACAACCTGGGCGCAGGCTTGTTTGCAGTGGGCAGTGCGGGCAGCTGCAGTCAGTGCCTTTATGCTGGGCTCCAGTCCTCAGGCCAGAGGAGCTGTTTCCCATTTTATTGAGGGGGAGTTTCCAGCGCGGAGAAGGTGAGAAGCTTGTCCAAGATCTGAAGCAGTTGTGGAGAAACGGATTGAACGCCATCCAGCCTGACTCCAAGCCCCCATACTGCTCCCTGGGCCACAGGTCAAGGCCAGGAGGCCATTTTTGCCAATCTGACTGGACTCAAGTTACTTCCCAGCTCCTTGCAAAGAGTTGTCTTTGTGAGACTGTGTTGTGGGTTCTGGAATGATGGGAGCCGTGCTTTGCAAATGAGGAGTGATTGCATGCCCGTCTGGCAGTGGATGGGCGTCTTGCTGACATCAGGCCTGAGCGGAGACCATGCCCCTCTGAGCGTCCTCATTGCGTGTGACAAGGTATAGGCCGCTAAGTGAGTTATCTTGCATTCCATGGAGCGTGGTGTCTATGTAGATATGTGGGTGGCATTAGGGTTGGGGGACATTTGTCTTTCACGCTGGAGAATGGAGTCTGGAGCTGGCGCTACTGGTGAGGAAGAGACCTGGCTCCCTGCCAGGCTCACCCATGCCCTCCCTCTGGTTGTTGGGAAAACCAACCTTGGAACAGCCAAATTGGGAGATATCGCCTCCCCAGTGAAGATCTGGCATCTCCTGAGCTCCATGTGGAAAGATCAAAGAGCTGGATGTGGGCACCCTTCAGGCAGCAACTCAGTGACCAGGAGCCTCAGCTCTGTCTACCCCAGCACAGCACTGCTGGGAGCCGGGCCGGGGAGGCTGCCGGCTCCAGAGTGAGGAGGGTCCAGACCACGCAGAGACTGTGCCCTTATTCTCCAAACACCATTTTAAAGCAGGTGCTATTATTAGACTTCTTTTTATTCTTGTGATAAGGTATGTATAACATAAAATTGACCATTTGAATTCATTTTAAGTGCACAGTTCAGTGGCATTATGTACCTTCACCACATCCATCTCCAGAACTTGTACATCTTCCCATTTAGAAAAATCTGTCCTCATTAAACATTCACTCCCCATCAGCCCTTCCCCCAGCCCCTGCCAACTACCATTCTACGTTCTGTCTCTGCATTTGATGACTCTAGGGATCTCATATGAGTGGAATCATGGAATATTTGTCCTTTTCTGATTGTTTTCTGTTTGTTTTTGTTTTGAGACAGAGTTTCACTCGTCACCCAGGCCGGAGTGCACTGACGTGGTCTCGGCTCACTGCAACCTCTGCCTCCTGGGTTCAAGGATTCTCCTGCCTCAGCCTCCCGCGTAGCTGGGATTACAGGTACCCACTGCCATGTCCAGCTAATTTTTTGTATTTTTTAGTAGAGTTGGGGTTTCACCATGTTGGCCAGGCTGATCTCGAACTCCTGACCTCAGGCACCTGGTGTTTCGTGACTGTGTTATTTCACTTCGCACAGTGACCTCAAAGCTCATCCATGGGTGTGTCAGACTCTCCTTTCTTTTTAAGGCTGAATTGCGTTTCCTTGTCTGTGTAGACATTGTGTTTATTCATTGGTCTATTGATGGACACTTGGGTTGCTGCTTTTGTCCACTATGAATGATGCTCCTGTGAACATAGGCTTGCAGATATTTGTTCAGTTTCCTACTTTTAGTTGCTGTGGTTATATACCCAGAAGTAGGATTGCTGGATCACGTAGGAATTCTGTCTTTAATTATGTGACGAACTGCCATGTTGTTTTCCATAGCAGCTGTATCATTTTACGTTCCCACCAGCAATATGTGTGGTTTTCTGTGTCTTCACATTCTTGCCAACACTTGCGATGCTCTGTTTGTTTGTTTTTGTTTTATGACATCCATCCTAATAGGCACAAAGTGGTGCTTGGTTGCAGTTTTGATTTGCATTTCCCTGTTGGTGAGTGAGCTTTTCATATGCTTGTGAGCCAGTTGTGTATCTTCTTTGGAGATGTGTCATTTCTAGTCCTCTACATGTTTTTCAATTGGGTTGTTTTTGTTGCTGACTCACAGTTCTTTATATAGTCTGGATAGTAATCCCTTGGAGATAGATGGTTTATAAATAATTTCTGATATTGTGTGGGTTCCCTTTTTACTCTGTTGATAACTGTCATTTGATGCTCAAAAATTTTGAATTTCGATGTAGTTCGATTTATTTTTCCTTTCGTTGCCTGTGCTTTTCATGTAATACCAAAAAGTCATTGCCAAATCTAATGCCATGAGGCTTTTCCCCTATATATTCTTCTAAGAGTTTTAGTTTTAACACATAACGTTAGGTCGTTGGTCCGTTTCGAGTTAATTTGTGTATATGCTGTAAGCGAAGTGTCCAGCCCGATTCTTTGACTTGTGGATATCAAGTTTCCCAGCATCATTTTGATGAAAAGACAGTCTGTTAATAAGAGTCTCAGCACCCTTGTCAAAAAATTAGTTGACTGTGTACAGTGTGGAGAGCTGATTTCCGGGCTCCCTGTGTCTGTCCGTATGCCACCAGAGTGTTTTGCTTCCCAGAGCTTTTTAGTATGATTTGAAACCAGAAAGTGTAAGTTCTCCGACTTTGTGCTTCTTTTTCAAGACTGTTTTGGATTTGGGGTCCCTTGCACTTTCATACAAATTTGAGGATGTCTTTTTCTGTTTCTGCTAAAATGTTGGGTTTTTTTGTTTGTGTGTTTGTGTATGTTTCGAGACAAGGTCTTGCTCTGTTGCCCAGGCTGGAGTGGGGTGGCGTGATCTCGGCTCACTGCAACCTTCAAACACCGTTATTCTCCAAACACCATTTCAAGGCAAGTACTATTATCGGACTTCTTTTTATGTTTGTGGTAAGGTGTGTATAACATAAAATTGACCATTTGAATTCATTTTAAGTGCATAGTTCAGTGGTATTATGTACCTTCACCACCATCCATCTCTAGAACTTGCACATCTTCCCATTCAGAAAAATCTGTCCTCATTAAACACCCACTCCCCATCAGCCCTTCCCCCAGCCCCTGCCAACTACTATTTTACTTTGTTTCTGTGCATGTGATGACCCTAGAGACCTCATATAAGTGGAATCATGCAGTATTTGGCCTTTTCTGGTGGCTGTGTTTTTTGTTTTGAAAATGGAGCTATGTTCTTGTTGCCCAGGCTGGAGTGCAGTGGTGTGATCTCCACTCATTCCAACTTCTGTCTCCTGGGTTCAAGTGATTCTCCTGCCTCAGCCTCCCAAGTAGCTGGGATTACAGGCACATGCCACCATTCCCAGCTAATTTTTTGTACTTTTAGTAGAGACAGGGTTTCACCATGTAGGCCAGGATGGTCTTGATCTCTTGACCTCGTGATCCACCTGCCTCAGCCTCCCAAAGTGCTGGGATTATAGGCGTGAGCCACCGTGCCCAGCCTATAATTTCTTTAATGAATGATTTATGTTTTTCAGTATACAAGTATTTGACTTCATTGGTTAAGCACGTGCCTGTTTATTCTTTTTAATGCCACTGTAAATGGATTGGTTTTCTTTAGTTCCTCTTTGGATTATTTATTGTTAGTATACAGAAATACAACTGATTTTTATATGTTGATTTTTGTATCCTACAATTTTGCTGAATGTTTATTCTAATAGTTGGTTTTCTTTAGCGTTTTCTATAATCACATCATCTGTAAACAGATAATTTTATCTCTTCCCTTCCAATTTGGACTTTTTTTCCCCATTCGCCTAATTGTTCTGGCTAGAACTTCCACTACTGTGTTGAGTACAAGGGGCAAAAACAGGCATCCGTTCCTCGTCGTTAAGTATGATCTTAGCTGTGGGTTTTGCATAATGGCCTTTATTATGTTGAGACAGTTTCATTCTATTCCTAGTTTGTTGGAAGTTTTTATCTGAAAGGGTGATAAATCTTGTCAAATGCTTTTTCCGTATCAATTAAGATGATTTTGTGGTTTTTCCTCTTTAAGCTGTTCATTTGTTGACTCCTCCTTGCCACATCCCAGGAAAAAATTCCAGTTTATCATGGTGTATAGTCCTTTTAATATGCTGTTGAATTTGGTTTGCTAGTATTTTGTTGAAAATCTTACGTCAATATTCACAGGGACTATTAGTTTGTGCTTTTCTTTTGGCGCCTGGCTTTTGTATCAGGATAA